CTTTTCTCTTCTCCATTTGGGAAATTTGGAGGAAGGGATAACATCGGTTGGTTGCCAGCCTTACCTGTATGGATAATAGACGATCTTTATGAATAAAAATGTATATATCCATACAACAAAGCAATAGGCGAAGGAGAGAACTAAGGCGATCTGAAAAGTGAGCAATAAAATCCAAAATTATCTTTATACATAATTATAAAAAAGCTTATTCGGCGGAAGGATTTTCGTCAGCACACTTGTACCTTCATGCCGATTTTCAACGTTTCCCAAGGTTGAGTAGTGCCTCTTATAATCGAATATCGATAGAAAGCAATCAACAGCGTTAAAGGAAATAGCCCATGCCAGGCTGCAACCTTCGTAGCACCAATAATCTGAAAATGATAAAATATTTTTCGAGAATTCGAAATATCACCGGGGTCATAAGGGACAAGGAAGCGCATCATAATTTGGTGCTCTCGTTACCATTAAATAATCACAGTAGAGGGCCTTACCTCACTAATTTTCATTGCTTCATGAACGAGTCCAGGCCAAATCGTAGCGAAACCAGCATAGGAGTAGCTGAGCAATTGAACACAGTCCAGAACTCCGACCACATGCATCATACGATGAGTTTGTAAACAATGGAATTCACGATCTAGAACAAGCATCTGGAAAAAAGTAGCTTCGATCACAAGCTCAGAAGAAGAAACATTTTCATCTAAAATCTAGTTTAAAGTAAGTAAAAGTTCTCATTTCCTCAACTTTGGGCCAGAAACCATTAATCTTCCTTTGAAAAAGCCCCTAATAAACTAGACAGCAAGATAGTTCTAAGATGAACGTTTTATTTCATAGTGAGAACCCTAGTATTGCATGTGTATCATATTATGCATTATTATTATATCGAGCGCAACATGTGTATGAATCGGTAAACAGCTGAATGAATTCATTTTGGGCTTACCAGGTTGAATGGCGCGTACAGTGAGAGAAGGGCCATAGTTAACGTTATGAAGATCACGCCAACAATGTAAGAGTCTGATTTTCGAACCATATAGAGATCAAGGAAAGTTTCGTTTTCAGCCATCCATTCAAGACCTCAAAGTATTACGGTACCTAAAATGACCCGATTGACACTAAAAACTTTATCCCTTATCTTGAAATCGTTAATTTTGCTTCTGCCTCGAAGTTGGCAGGTGGAAATATATTCTGGCCGAGCCGTCGTTTTAAAGGCCTCACTTCCACCGCGAAGCCACGCTACACGGTTAGTACATTAGTAGCGAATAATAATATTAATAATAGTTTCGCTACTAATGTACTAACCGTGTAGCGTGGCTTCACAGAACTGCCGAGGTTTAAAGATGAGAGGACTTGGAATTTTATCCTTTATCCTTATCCTAAGATCGAAATCCTACTGAGGCAAATTGACTACTCATTCCAACTTTCCATCCAAAGTGGGCCTATGACTTTCTTACTGCCTTATTGTTGTGAAAAACGTTTTGATTTTTAAGAGTTGTCTTTATCAGTTCTTGTGAGTACTGTAGAAAAATAGCCGGAAACTGGAAAACTGTGACAACTGGAAAGCTATAGGGAAAACTGATAAACGGATGCAGAAAGCTGGAAATCGAAAATTCAGGGCTGATTGTATAGAAAGATGGATGAATGAACTCTAATTAGAACTGAAAAGTGAATAATTGTAATTGTCAATTGATTCGTCAAGTGCAAAGCTAATTAGATGTATCGAAGGTCTTTGAGACTCTTTTTTTACAAGAAGTCCTCAAAGGTAACGTGATGATGTTGCAGGTCCCACAGGAGCTGAGGAATGCAGCTTCCTGGAAAAGCGATAGATGAGTCGTAAGATAGCCCATTTTGACGTGATATTCTGCACGCGGTTCTGAACTATCGAGGTACTTAGATAATTGCTTATTTGCTTTTTATTCATTTGTTTATTCACCTATTCAAACTTGGCCTCAGTGCACCTCCAATGAGGCTCATAAAAGGGCCATGGGGAAGGACACGGAGGTGGATGGTGGGTAAGCCAGGGGGTCACGGTAAGAGCGGAGTGCCCGTACTGATTTCGTTTCCTGTGAACAGTAAGGGGCTCATACAGTAACTCGAGCTTCATAAGCTCACTGAAGAACCATTCTGGCCACAATCCCATAATAATTAGGAAGTAATTTGTGTTCAGTGATTCGACATAGTAGCAGTAAATTAATCAATAAACCAAAAAAACGAATAGGACTATACTTCATACTTCCATAGAAGACGGGGAAGAAGAGACACCTGAATATATCCAACCAGCATTTTTCGAATTCTATATAACGACACTTCGAATGGAAGTCGTGTGCGGGGGTGCATCGCTCAGACGGGATCGACTAACGCCAAAAACTTTATCCTTTAGCCTTTTCGATTGACAACATGGGCAGAGGTGGTGTAGTGGCAAGTTCCACACATGAACAATCCAGCGAAGAAGCCCTCTATCCATTCGGATCCGATCAATTGATGTCAGACTCATCTGGGAGGATAGGAGTCCTGCACGCATTCAAACGCTGCTATGTTCTGAACAGAAGCCCCTTGCTGGGCACATGTTAGTACGAAATTAAGCAAAGCAAAAGACTCAAGTTTTCTCTTTGTATACTTGACTTCTTTATTAATTTCGACCAACAATCATTTAAATCATAATATTTAGGTCAACAATACTTTACATTATCATTTACATCAATCAATACTCTTTTGTAGACTTTGTTTCCGACGTTTTTGAACGATCTTCAATAGTAACAGGAATTGTACTAGCAGTGTTATGAAGCTGATGGACGAAAAGGATATGAAGCCAGCCCGGGTGATACAGTAGGATTCTGAAATTGTGGAAAAATCATGTATTGGCCCCGGCAGTAGATTGGCTGGGATTACAAGTTATCGAAAAACCCAGAATACAACGAAAAAAAATCACTAAATATAGTTTGAAAATAAAATTTTAGGTTACTGCTAGGAGTTCCTAAACATATCTTGATTTTCTAAGTCAGTGCCAATAAAGTAGTCATTTGCTATGCTTCAAAAAGGGCTTTAGGATTGGCAACTGACCTGTAGGTGAAGTCTTACTTTTGACGAGTAGCGAGACCTCGACTTCAGTACCGCTTCTGAAAGAGTTGACTGACGACCCCGCCGAGGGGAGATAGCGACGTCTTCTCGTTTGTTTTAAGCAGTCCTTCTGTAGGAATATACTGGTAAATCCTACGGCATTTACCAGTATAACACTGGTAATTTACCAGTTAAAACACTCCCACGTGCTTACCAGTTCACATCGGTCACAATATTCCAGTTGGCAGCTGATCCTCACTGAGTCGCTGTCTTTAAAGCGAAATGCTCGCAATGGGATAAGAAATCCTCCGGATTCTCTTCGAATGTCGCCTCTCATCATATATTCACGGGCTGCCAGTGTTGGACACCTTCAAAATCAAAATCTGATTTTTTGATTTTCTTTTAGAAGTTTTTATTTTCTTACCCGTCTTCAATAAAAGTTATATTTATACACTCGTCAAAATTGCGTGCAACACAACTGTAGACCGTATAATTTCTACCGGAGCGACTTTCGTCTTCAATGAGCAGATCAACATCATCACCAAGAATCACCGTCTCCACCTGAAGAGACCGAATTTTTTTCAAAATTAAGGGAGTACCTAAGGGAAAGAAGGAAGTCAAGGAGGATGTCTCTTGCTACATAGGCTGCTTTCATAGTCCACGATCTGGCCCGCGACCGATCGATCGATCGAGCGAGCGAGCGATTGGGGCGGCGCTTGGCACGTGTTTACAACTGAATCTTGGTCGATACCGCGGGCAAGGGCTGCCCCAATCGCTCGATCGCTCGCTCGCTCGCGAGCCAAATCGTGGACCATGAAAGCAGCCGTACTGATTATGTTTTTTACAATAAATGTAATTATTAGCTTATTATTACTGATTACCTACTAATTTATTTAACTTATTTAAGCTTATTCAGCCAATTGTTGAGCAAATTATTAGTCAATTTAATAATATACTAGCTTTGCAATCTCTCTGAACTGAAAGATAAGGAGCGAGAGCCAACGCTGTCGATAAGATTATAAAAGTTAGTTAGGAAGCATATTGATTATATTACAGTACGTAAATAGTAAACACCATTAGCGTATTTAGCAAATGAATATATAGGCTCTGGAATCCAGCAGTACTAATTTACCATAAAAATCGTTGCCAACCTCAGATTTTTTGAAATTCCGCCTCGATCGCAATTGCATTTTCACCGGCTTGTAAGGTATTCTACCAGATGGATGGATTGAAAGTCCGCCTGTATCTCTGCAATATTTTAAGCGGTCATACTAGTCGTGTCCATACTTCTCCAAGCAGGAACTGACTTTACATGAAGGACGCTGGTGGCAGACATCTTGGTTGTCTGATTACTGTAGTCACATGAGATACGGTAGAGTTTGTCGAATTCCGTGATCAAGGGCACGTCACTGAGGTTGTTTTGTTTGACCACGATCACATTTTCGTATACAAAATCTTTCTGGAATTAAAGATTTTCCTAAATGACTCATATCAGATAAACCCTGTACCTGCGAGAGAGCACAGTTTTCTGAGCTGAACGACATTTTCAGTTGAGCTTCTGTTCCGTTGATAACTTCAGAACAGTTTTCGTGAGCGTTTCGGGCGAAAAGTTTACCAATGATGGGTACTGGCGAGAATACCTGAAGAAATCCTATGCTTTTCCTTCCATTTTCCGACCAACTTTCAATAATAACGAAGTAAACAACACTGTAAACAAAGTAAATAACTAAAATGATTGTCAACAAACCTTGATAATAATTCCATCATAGTTGCACACCGTCTGTACTTCCAATTCAATAGCGCTGGGGGTGAAAGGCTCACTTCTGATTTTTATCTGTAAGTGACCATAATCTGTAAGTACCCTTATTGTTTGTGAATTCGTCTGAAGCTCTAACCTGATCCTTTTTGTGGGCAGCAAACGCTTTTCCTACTCGTTTTCCTAATTGCTTGGATTTACTCTTCACTTTCTTTTGATTGGGCCTTTTCTCTGTAATAATTTCTTGATTCATATATTCAAAGATTGAATAGTGATGAATAATTCTTAATTTTTGCAAACTTTTCCCCTCCCTTTTCTAATAACCTAGCACTCAAAATTTTTAGTGAGAAAAAGGGCGTACCGTTAGGGAAAGTGATTACATTAAGTTTGAAGTGTTGGCAAGTGCTGTCCGCTTTGGTGGTCGGTTCTGTCGGAGTACGTCCGTCCAGTAGTCGACATCTCCCATCCCAATAGAAAGTGATTGCTTCACAGCTGTAACTGTGCAGTTCGAACGGAAAATTATCATTATTTAGCCTAATTTTCCTTGAATCATTAATACGTGTTGGAAGGCCCATTTCCCAAATCAATGAGGTTGAAGTTCACACAAAAATTTTATATCAATGGTATTCAGCCCGCTCAGAATAGGCCACAGTGACTACAGCCTTGGCCCAGTCGGCTTGCTCCTAGCTTGTTTTATGGTGGGAAAGCAATAGTACCCAGCGCCGCTGAAGATGTTTCCTAATTCTTTCCTTGGAAGTGTTTGGCCGCTCATTTTAGGTGATTTCCCCTCCAGCAGATAGCTGGTACACTGAAAATTAGCTGGGGAAAATCGAATCGTAGCGAACGTTTGCTTGACGACAAAAAGGGGAGTCAAAGACGTGCTGTCCTTTTAGGTTTGACAAATCCAATCGATAAATCTCCCTACCAATCAATACATATATCCCGAAGCATTACTACCTGCTTGTTGGATGTGTTAAGCAAAGTTGCATACAGTCCTTGAATCCAACTGGACCGAATGCAATACCGTAGTCTTGTCGTGCTGGGCATCCTTCAGTTTCTTCGAATAGCACAGCTGGAATCAATACCGATATCGAATACTGTTGAATAATGGAAATCAATAATCGATTCTACTTACCAATATCGAGCTCATCCCGGGTCAAACACATTTTTTCTATGACCTTTGTTGAAGTCCGGATCGGTTCTGCCGACATCACACATTGACCATCTTCCCAGTAAATATGGCTACACGTAGGGTTGGCCAGACATCTGTAACAAGAACTTGGGTGAGAAATCAAAGTTAGGCTTGGGTGGTATTGGGGTTTGTTTACTAGTAATTTGATGTTTAGGGCTCACTGAAAGCAAAAAAACTATTTATAAACATTCACTATCAAAAAGCAAGCTCACAAATCGGACTTGTTTGCCTTCTATTCGGCAGGACAGGGGAGGGCAATCCTACCGGCTTTGGCACTGATCCGTAACTTTGAAAAACCAAATAATTCACTCGGCCTAACCGCTAGACTCACTTTTGGAGGCATGCATTTCTGATTATTGAATTATGTCCGTAGTATGAAATATAAAGAGCGTTCTTCGATGAACAGTTTTCCACAATAGGTCGTTTACAAATACTTTCGAAAACCTGAAATATTTATTTTTCATTACATTAATAATTATTATCGTCCAAGACTATTATAACTCTTTGTTTCCGATCCTGAAGCCAAAGGTTTTGTAAAAGAAGCCATCAAGAGCGTAGCGTTATCCCCAATCAGGCCGCAGTGTGCATCGTTTCCAGCTCTTCCCATCCAGTTGTCTCGCAACACTATCTGTTCTTCCGGGATAACGCTCATAACGTAAGCAATCGCCTTACGTACCTGATAGTGATCGTCAAGAAAATCGAATTGCTGCCCATGTTCGTCGTTGTTTACTAAGAAACACTCGGAAAGCATTTCATTGTAAATTACAAAGTCGCAACTTGTGCACATCGAGAGGCACTGAAAATTTACGGACTACAGTAGTTGGAGTAGCAGATTGAGTGGCATGGCGAATGCCGAAGAAAGGAGCTTACCTGGTCAGATCCTCCGGAGACATTCACAAGCTGGCTATCACCGCGTATGAGAATTTGATCCCATGGGACTTGGTGGAACGAATGCGAACATTGTTCCCTTTCTGAACGGCGTCACTTTCAAGAATGAACAGAGGAATTCTTTATCTTCGAATATCGAACAGATCGGATTATTTCTGCCCCTGTTATCCACTTCATTCTCGTTGATTCTATCGTTTTTTGGCGAGCGGCAGTAAGTTTCTGGAGCTTGACTAGGACCTGATCGAAGACGCTTCAAAAACTGCCAGAAACAGATTCTCTTGCGCCTTCCAAGTCTGACTTTCATTGAAGGGAAAGTTATCGAATCGTGTCGCCATCGTTTATGAAAGATGTTGCCTTGCAGACTATTACGCGACATCTATGCCCCACTGACCACGTCCTAAATTCAAGGTAAACACCACTCCGGGACGTTCTGAAGGCGACCAATGGTTGAAGGAGCATTCCATGATCAGTTGAATGAATCGCTTTTGAAAAAGGTGGAAAGGAAAAGACTCATCGTAGGTAATCTGACCAGCTCACAGGCATACATATGCTATGCCAACTGGGAGAATTGCTCCAAGCTGAGCTAGATTTTCGCTGGAAATTGGTTCCAAGTCAATGTAGACAAGTCAGTTGCAAGGCTTTCTAGTTTTAGGTACGGTCCACGAGCCTGAGGCCTTTCATCCGGATACACTATTGGTAAATTCCAGCAGAGGAGTTGCAGGTTCGGAAATCAATAACCAACTTGTTATATTACTTGGTAGAGCTCTTTCATCCATTCTCACATTCCTCGTCAGGCCTCTTCTGTCTCTGATTCCCTACCATTTCTATCCCAACTCGAGTGTTCCCATATTTTTTCCCATACATATGCCCTAGTGAGATCCCAAACAATTTATTGGTAGTAGTACTTGTTGAAAAAGAGCCAACTAATCAGTCTTGAATTCATTTAATGATGACGCACTTTTCCACTGCTTCCTTTCCATATAAGTAACTCGAAACTCGTCTTCATTGTTGAGAATCGAGGCATTTGACGAGTTTTCCGTGTTCAGAAGGCAATCTCCACTGTCCGCAAAGAAGATTATAGATTCACAAGCAATTGTCTGAAGAAACAACCGAGTGTTTACCAAGTATACGAAAGAAGTTAAATTAGCATAAACAAGTAAATAAAATTTCTCTTGCGTAATAAAACTTCTAAAAGATCTGCACTCCGAAATCAAATTTAAGAAAGAAATTAAGGTAAACAGATATAGGAGAACGAACAGAATGAAAAGCTTATGAGGTTCTGGAGGGAGGGACGCAACGGCAAAGGTCAGCTTAGGACAGTCGAATGGCAACTTTGTTGGAGGAATTCCCCAGATAAATCCCGATTGTATAAGTTAATTCAGAATAGCAGTGTCCAAGGCATGCCCGCCTACTAAACTAGAAGGTTACAATTGGAAGCAGGACCATCGCTGAAAACTCCTGAGTTCAAAAATATTTGACTCACTTTTTCCTTATAGCAGAGGCTAAGGCAATGATACTCATCAGCAGCGTCGACGAGCATCTCCGAAGTGCTGTCCAGGAACTTCTCACGATAAATCTCCACAACTGATCCAGATATCACACCTAGAGTTCCAATTTACAGCGAGCAGCTCGCGTATTTACAGCTCTAATTCTCTTGTAGAACATACCAGGGACGCAGGCCTTTCTCAAGTATAAGTTTTCATCGATGAGACCGTAGACGTCGTCGGAGTTCAAGGAAACGCAACTGTCGTCGTAAAGAAGAACTCCTGAAAGGCAAATGAATCTGTCCGGGTTCCTCTGCCAACACATCTGAACTGTATAGTTACCATACACAGGTGGTCAACAAGGATTACTGTGGCCGATGCATAGAAGAGATTGCTCCTGTATGGTCTAAAAGGTGCTGTGGGAAGGGCAGCGGCTTTAGGAGGTGCGAAGTGAGCATATTGCACTTACCATTCGTACGACCGTACCCTAACTCACAGAACGGTCATCAGAAAAGCTTCACTGACACCTCAGTAGTTCTACTTTTCGGTCTATGACTAGGCAAACCAGTTCCCTCCTTAGCTTCAGCTCTATTTTTATTAAATCTTCATTTTCAATACTTACCTGTGCAATTTGACGTCGAGCAGTGTTCAAAACAGTCGGAACCAATTTCAAAATTTCTGTTCACACTACTTTGAAAAAGGAAAACGGCAGCAGTTCCGTTACGACACATCAAGCTGTGACAGGAAGGTAGGAGACTGAGGAGTATAGGTAATAACCTTCGCATATGGCTCTGAAATTGTCCTTACATATGTAGCCTATACTTCAGAAGTTATCTACAAAAATGGAATAAATTAAAAAGCAAATTCATGAAATAGCATATAAGGAATGGAGGAGTTTCAGGCGAGGAATTAGAATTTAGCACCCAAACAGAACTTTTTCTAACATTCATTATGATGGCGACACCTCAATGTCCACCCGGGCGTTGAACCTGAGTACGGTCGAAAAAAAGTCGGTAAATGAGCCGACAAAAGTGGGATATGAGGTGAGCGTACAGCTCATAAACTTTAGGCAAACTTATCGAAAAAAGCGGTAGTCCAGTGTCCTCTCCCCAACTTGAAATTAGGTTATTTTTATTGGGATGATTATTCAATTAGAAGTAAACAATGAAGGCTAGAAATTATTATTTATGAGAGCACATTTTTATAGATTCGCACGACCAGTTTATGAAGATCGCTTTAAGAAAACAATTGCTTTTAATGAAAACTATTTTCAATGTGTAAAAGAGACTGGTTGAAGGCCACACGTGCAAAGCAGACAAATCCTCTGGAATATTCAGAACTGTCCCATCCCATCTTCAAGGTCATAGAGGTTAAACGGATTAAGAAATGCCGTTGACAGGAAGAGAAAGATCGAATTTTCGAAGGAGAGGATAATGGAAAGCGTAAGATATCTTTCTGTCAGGATTGGCTTGATAGGGTTGATCATATGAACAGGTCCATTTCCCCCTATCCGCGAGATTCAAAGAAAAAATATTAAAATAGAAGACAATTTAAAAAGGGTAAGTTAGTTTTGAGCGAGTGCTCTGAGGCTACGAAAAGTAAAACTATCCAAGAGAAAAAGGGAAATCATCTACATGAAGATGACGATATTCACTCACCAACTGAACAGGTACGGTGACGTCGAAGATGCCGCAGCCTGGATGAGGTCGTGCCGACCCCGATATGATTGAACGCTTCCAGACAAACGGCACATTCAGATCGGGTCAACGAATTCGTCTTCTTCACGGCTCAAAGCCGTTCATTTCAACGAAGCGTGCCGATTTACGACCTCTTCTCTTCGCCTATCGTATCTTTTGGAGCAGAATACGCTCGTAGTTCAACACTATGTAACGGAAACTTAAACGTTTTGACCGTGATAATCGCCAAGTGAAATGAAATGGGAAAACTTACGAGCAATGGTTTTGTCAGTAGATTCCTTGAACAGAAAGTCGGTCTGTTGGTAGGCGACACGGTTTATACTAGGTTCCTGTTATAGCCATGTCGTCCTTGGCTGATGCAAAAGAGTAATAAGGACACACTGGGCGCATTCCTTTCTATCATTACAGTGTTGACTTTCACACTCCAGCCGAAGAGCTCGATTTGGTTCAAGATCGATCTCGTATTGATCATTGAAGAGGCAGTTTCTGGAGCAAACAGAGGCGGGTTCCCTCACGAAATGAGCCTGTGAGTCTCCGTGAGGTATTCTCTGTAGAATTCTTTTTTCTACGATTTTGCCTTTCTTAGAACCGGTCCACGGAATGGAATCGATCTTAGAATCAGTTTTTCCCTCGATTGACTAGACGGTAATGAAATCAGCTTGCCGACGTAGTTCTTCAATGAGGTCTTCAGTTCAGGGAAAACCAGTTCCAGTTGGCATCAAAGACATTCACCTATTCCGCCACTGTTCCACGTCAATGCCATTATGGTGCCAAGTTTTTTTTTCTTTTCTCATCGTCTCTCGAGACTTTCTCTTTGTAACTGCACGAGGCATTGTATCGATCATGCCGTCTTCCTCAAGTTCCTGCTACGAAAGAAAGTTAAGACAGTAATACTGTACATGATAAAACGACAAATAGACTGGAGTGAAGTAGTGACTGGAAGTGCAGCCACTACACCGCTCCTGCACCTGCGCAGCCCTGACCATTCAATTCAGCCTTGTCTGGCTGACAGACTGGTCCACTTTGTGGTTTTTCTAAGGCTGCTCAATGTTTCTTGAGAAAAAATAAGTTAAGAGCAGAAAATCTGTTATATTTACCGATGCCTTCAATGATCATTGCCCAGATTCAGGTCCCGTTGAGGTCGAAGCGGAGCTTGTTCCCCAGAAATTCAAAATGCTGAATTGAGGCTTCCTTTCGTTTCTTTTATGCTATTCATTGATGAAGTCTGGTTTTCGTTTCGAAATCCCTGACCAGAGTGCATCGTGACGAGGTAAAAATTAGAAAACACACCGTACCCCTAAATAATTGCAAAGGTCAGATAAGATCCTGCAAAAAGAGAGAAATCATTTTGGTGGAAAGGAGAAAAGACCTTAGAAACATGCCTCTAAGATCACTTGTACATCTAGTGATTTTTTGTTTTAGAAAAATTTGCTTTCACCGTTCATTAATGGTATCCGAAAACTACTTCTCCCCGCCTTTCCTCCTTTCCCCAACTTTACTATTCTAGCTTTCCATATTCTCTCTTCCCCAGTGGAAATTTGTCTGGAGATTTCTGCTCCACTCATCCTCCTCTTCTTCTTCTGGCTGTACTCGAACTCGTTTTCGTTATGATATGCATCGATTTCATCGGCAAATTTACCCCTCCATTACCTTCATGTCATCTTTTCTTGCTGTTTTCATCGTCATGGGACGACAATCAAGAAAACGGTAAACAAATTCAATACTCGTTTCGAATTTACACTTTCTCGAAGGGAGTCAGAGGGCGTCAGGCTGCCGCAACGGCACCCGTTCGTCCTACTCCAACAGGTCTACAACGGAGTTTCTCACTGCTGCTTCATCCGAGTTTTACTTGTGATGTTTTTACATACATATGTTGTTGCCATAGAGAACAAGTTCACACTATAAAAACATACTGTACTGATCATATTTATCGATTGATTATTTTCAAACCAGAATCGACCGCTCTGCATCGGCTCGCATCCATTTTGAGCAGCTCTTTGAAGCAGATAAGATCGAAACCTCAACATATATTTCCCATTACTGTCAGTGTCCCCTCCGCCCTCGTCCATGGGCTAGTGGGCTCATCGTCATTGGTTTCCCTTACTTTGTCTATCCCATAGCACTACTGTGACAAAGCTTACGCAAGTGTAGGTGCTACAGTATATAGACACGAGTAAGCTTCAAAGAGCTCTGTAACCCTATCCGAATTTTCTGCTTTCATTTATCTCAATTGGGAGATTAACTCCTACTGGAAGCTGTGCCCAATGCTACAAATCTATTTGAAGCTTTCCTGCTCTAGTCAAGGCAGTTAGAAATGAACCATGCCCTTAACTTCAATGTTTTTCCAAAAAATGTTGTTTTCCCAGCGGTTGAGGGCAAATACCCGGGTAGGACTCGAATTGAAAAAAACAGCTAAAACTGACGAAAACGCAAAGGGTCTTCTGTTTGATTGGCCTCAAAAAGTGTGAAGTGGACAGTAGAGATTAACTACGGTGACCTCTTCTTGTGCGCTACGTAGGCTTTGCTCAAACCATTTGTTAGCGGTTCGTCACCTACAACGTTTGCTTAGACCCTTTGAAGGTTTTCAGAACCTCGAAAGATCTTCAATGGGTTCTCACTATAAACGAAAATGGTAATTCCGAATTTTTAGCTCGATAAATAGCGTCTCTTAAGAAATAAGTGGTAGTCCTCGCCAAAGCCAAGCACTTTTCCATTTTTATTGTTCTGACATATGCTTGCTTAAAAGAGATTTTACCACTTGAGTGATCTGAGGCTTCGGACTCTTCGCTTTCTTTGGAACCTTGGACCGTAACACTAGATTGACCCCCCAAGAATGAACTTCTGCATACAAACTTTCTCTTGTAATCTTGGGAAGGCTAGTGCCGGCACCCTAACAAGACAAAGCATGAGCCAAGATTAAAGGAAAGTCGGTCACGCTTTGTCATGAGTCTTCCTTCTCGTAAAGGAGCAGAGTACAAAGTCCCTTGGAATATTTAAAAGCCGTTTCGGAGAGGCAGAGCGACGGCAGCGGTCAGTCTTCGTGTTTCAACCTTCAGTAGGAACCTGTCTGAAACGGAAGTGCAGCGCGGCTACGACCGCTTGCTGGTTGCGTGCTCCCTCACACCTCGAAATTCCAGTTGACCAGACGAAATCCATACCCGAATGGGTCATCAGGAGAATCATTTTGCTCGCTATACTTCTTCACTAGACTTCTTTCACATCACAGCGTTCTGTTGATGATCATGGCACCTTACAGTTCAAGTATTTTGAACTCTTTTTGATTGGTGTGAAGACTTCTTGGCAGTCGCCCAAATGGAGACGATTTTTCTGAATACATTGATCACTACTATCCCTCTCAGGTTGTACTTCGCCGATGACCGAACCGGTCATGCTAGCTATGCTATCTCGTCATCCGCAGCTGTCATTAGCGATGTTTCCCATAAAGAGCCGATTACATGGGTTTGGGCTGATGCGGCTGATATGTTGTTTGAAACTGCTGGTGACCCATTTTGTTGTAGTAGCCTGGAGCTCCAGTTTTTCGATGAACTACGTTTTCACAACAATTGCTAGTTGGTTGGAAATGTCCCTTGCATCGTGTAGGATATTTATGGGCAAGAAAAGCCAAAAG